ACATTAGTGGTTCTCGACAAACCCCAGGTATTAATAAAGGAAACAGAAATCTTGATTGCGACCTTCGCTGACCGACTTGCCCCGTTGGTTTGTCCAATCAGCTTGATAAAAACGAGAAATTCGTATAAATTGAATTAAGTAAGTTCTATAATCGAAAGAAGCGCGTTGAATAATAACATAAAAATTCCGATATTTCTTTCGTTTTTAAACAATTTTTTTCTTATTTTTAGCAACCATTCTTTTTTTAACTTTTTTAAATTTTAGTAAAATAGAAATGTTATAATTATATCACAGGATATATTTTTTAAAGAAATTATTTTTGCATAATGTATTGCGTTATAATTGCGTATTATAATTTAAAAAATAAATTTTCAGAAAATAAAATCTCTAAATTCAATTATTTAGATTACAGTTCTTTGCAAAAGAGTAATAAATAAAATTTTATTTAACTTATCAAAATTAAATAAAGCCATTATTTAGACTTTAAGATTCAAGCATCCTCATTTTTATTTATATCATTATAGTCTTTTTATAAATCGTTTAGTTGTAACATTTTTCAAAGTATAAAATTTTACACTGAGAAGAAAAGCGATAAGTATCAATCATATTACGATCAGAAGAAAAAACGATCGCGTACAACTTCACGTATGAGAACACATGTAGTAATACACGTGTGACACTTTCGAAGAAGCTTTCTTAGCATTTTTGAACGCTAATTTACTTTTTCCGCAAACTTCGCACGTGCGAATTAGGTTCAACTCAGAGACTTTGAGCGCAATATGATGGAGATCAAGCAAGTTTTCCTGAAGACGCGCGCCGAATTTGGCAAGCAGTGCATCTTCGACACATGCGGCCCGCAAATCGACATGGTGATCCAACCGGATCCTGAAGCTATGATCAATTATATTACAAAGACGCACTGCAACGTCGGTGTGCAGCACACCAAACAATCGGCACTGCACGAGGTTAATATCATTACATTATTTGTAAGGATATAAGCAATCGATTAATAATTTATAATCTTAAGCATCGATTAATCACTAAAATTTGAAAAACCTGTACCTAGGAATTTAATATAGAAAAATTGGTACACCAAAAGTGTACTCGTAAAGGTGTTCGCCTTTTAAAAAGCTGTTTGCGTTTTGAGATTTGTTCAGCTTTGTGTCTGATTTACAAGATTACATATTCAAAATTGTCATATAAGTTGCACCGACTGCAGCGTTACAGCTGCAATGTGAAAGGGAACAAACTCTACACCCTCGTCGGATGTAACCAGTTCAAAAACTCCACTAATATATTCAAAAATCTGCTACGTTTTACTTTAAGAGAACTAGACGCAACTTGCGGTAAAATTGGCGTCAGGCTGACGTGCCTGACGGTGCAACATCCGCGTGTCTCGCGGAGTTCGCTCACCCGACGCCACAAGCCTGCAACTTTCCACGAAACTACGACGTCGAAAGATGGTACCTAACGTGAATTTCACGCGACCAGTCGTTCCTCTTTGTTTTACAATATAACGAGGCAGTACAACAAAGATAAATGTTCGACATCATTTGAAGAACAACAACAATTTCATATCTCATAAATTTAACCCCGCCCATTCGCGCGATATTCTCTACAATTTTGCAATATGTTTGAGATAAATTTGCCAAAATATATTAAAAATCTATAACAGAGAATCACTAAAAGATAAATAAGTGTAAAATTTAATTATTTAACTTAAGCCCGCCCGAAAAGAAAAGTCTGATATATCATTTTTGGATTTGTCATATTATCGAAATTCTACATTTCCATTTATTTAATATTTTTTCATAATAATGAAACGTTTTTTTCCACATTAGACAACAATATCTCTCGATGGTGATTTTTTACAAAATAATTTATTTCTATATTTTATTAGTTTTTATTTGCACTGTGCGTATAAAATAAATACGTAAAGAAACAATGAAAATAATCAAACAGCATTGTCGAATGATCGTATTCAACAAACTCGAATTTATTTTTCATCGTTAGTATTATAATGTTATAATATTATTTTACCGCATTGGACAAACATATAAAGCGCGAGCGGAAATGGAGCTGTCTGAGCGCGTACGATGCGACGATCAATCCCTTGGAATTCCACGTTATCGTTCCAGCAATCATTCCTACGGAATTCCAGGCCCAGACTGTCGGCGTCCAGACGAAGAGCAGCGGAATGTTTCACTTCGAGGGTGGTTGGCCGAAGGAAATCAATCCGAAGGACGAGGAAACTACAACGAGGTTTCGCAGACGGGTCGAGAAGGACGAGGATTGGGAGCCGAAATTGCGCAACTTATTCAAAGTATATTATCGCAGCGGATTATCGTGAATTTCTATACCACCAATTTTGGAAATGAGTTGAAAAATATCAAAAGAATAATTTTTCGTTTAAGTTATTCATATGAACGTTATCTATTCTTTCTAAAAAAAAACCCAAATAATACGTTGTTTTTTTTCCCGCAGAAAATGGAACACAATATTTTGCAGAACGGCGCGCTTAATATATACGAACATTATTTCGATGATATAATTCCCACGGAATTAGTGAAACCTCGTGATCTCAGGTAAAGATTTATAACTCCGCTGAATATTGCATGTATATTTTATCAATCACGAATGAATTGTAAAAATTAATGTAGAAAGTTGTCCAAAATGTTTAATGTTGAGAGATTATTATTAGATATTTTATGACAGAAATATTTTAATATTAAAAAGATCGCAATTGTAAAACGATGAACGTCGAAAAATCAATCGTGCCCGGTTAAAAGGAAAAGATTCGCTTCCATTATCATACGACATCGATAGAATGTTCAGAACTTCGTGATCCCAGATGGACAATTTTAAAATGTATATATTCGTGTCGGGGGGGCGGCAAGAACGACTACGTCGGTTCGACCATCAAAAGATTTAAAATTTAAACCTAGCCCCAGCCCGAAGGTATCTGAACATATGTCGGGATTCCAGAATCGTAGTGGACGTGAATTATGCATCCTGCCGCTAAATTTGCTTTCCTCCGTTTTAAACTAACGATTTTCCGCGCGTATACGCTGCGGACAGCTCCGAACTATTTAATAGCTCATGCAAAACTGATTTGAAGAGAAGCAAGGAATTACAGTTCCCATTTTTTCCTCTTTTTTTTCAGCGTAAAAATATATATTTCAACGTATAAAGTAAATTAATATAACATCGCTAAATTTAATATTGGAATTAACAAATGAAAATTGGGATGCACAATAAAAATAAAAATAAGAATATTTAATTGTGATACATATCATAATGTATCATAACTTGTAAAATAAGTAAACGTTGTTTTAATATTTTTTAAAACATCAACATACTTTATATACTCGCGCCAAGCACATTAAAGAGTGCAACACTTTCTTCTGACGCTTAGGATTTTTATTTCAGGACAGTAAACGTCTACGAGGATCCTCAAACGCCAGCGAGATCGGTCAACAATATTTCTTGGTCGCCAGATTCTGGCAATAAAATGGTGGTTTCGTACTGCTTTTTTGGACTAGAGCCAAATTACAGCAACATTGCGTACATCTGGCAGATTGGTAAGTGGAAAAACCACGCGACAGCCCGACTACATTTAGACATCGCGCTTTTTAAGAAAATAGACACAACTTTTGTTGCGGCTGCTTTTTTTTGCTAATTATTTTCGCGGTTAATAAAATATAATTACAAGCTGCGTGACACGTGACAAATTTTCTAACAGAAAAATAACTATTATAAAGCAGAGAAATTAAAATGCAACCTCATATTAAATGCGTAGCGTTTGCAGCGACTTTGCGCTAGAGGCGTCATTTTATGGATATACAGAGAAACAGGTGTTTTGCATCTCGACGAACGTGAAGTTAAATTGGAAAATCCCGCACGAAATCTCATTTCAGCAATCAAATATGCGACGCCTTCATAGTCAATTCTCTCAACACAGCGCCCATTTAGCCATTGAATAGAATGTTGATTGATGAAACAGCAACGCATTGTTATTGATCCATTAAAGTCTAAACAAAAACTGCAACATTCCCCCATGTCAACGCACACAATCAGAGAGTTATCTTGCTTTTACAACAAATGAAATGCTGGGCAAACAATATACGCGCGCGCAGATAAATATCGCCGGCGTCAGAGATACTACAATATTACATTTCTATCGTATTAAAAATGGAGCCGCAGCCATACTTCATTAAACGTATCTATTTTTTCACGTTGCGTCTCTAATGGCTCGAAATCGGATTTCATGCGAGCACAATTTTTTTTAATATTTCAAAAATAACGCGTTGTATTTTTTGCCGCACGTTTTGCACGGTCGACGACCGACGTGTTGCGAAACTGGTCGCGGGTGCGAAAAACACACGACAGACAATCCTAATAAGCCCTGGATGACACTGGAGGCGCCATCCGCCACGGTGGTCAGCGAGTTTAATCCTCGGGATCCTTCCGTGCTTGTCAGCGGCCTGATGTCGGGCCAAGTTTGCAGCTGGGACGTCAGGACTGGCACCACTCCGGTTCAGACGTCTCATCGTCAATTCAGTCATAGGTAATCTCGACACGAACATGCCTCGACGCGACGTCGGAACTTCGGATTTCATAATTCAGCGCGTTGCCCTGCTCTTGGTCGGCCGAAAGCACGGCAAGATGATGAATTAATAAAACGTCGTCCCTGCTGCGCTTTCGTCCTCAATTAAGCTTCATTTCGTTTTCACGCGACGTTCGTCACGTCGCGCGCGCTACTTTTTTTTTGCGACATGTCTGAAAGACGGCGACTCAGTCATTCCGCCGTGTTTAATCTATAAAAAATGCAGCGGCGGTCTCTCTCTCTCTCTCT